TACCTGGAAACTTACCATCATGGCAAAAGGCAAAGAAGAAGCAAGGTACGTTTTACATGGCAGCAGGAGAAAGACAAAGTGAGGAGAGAACTGCCAAACACTTTTAAAACCATCAGATCTTGTGAAAACTCACTCACTATTATGAGAACAGCATGGAGGAAGCTGCTTCCATGATCCAGTCACCACCCACCAGGTCCCTCCCTCAACAAAATGGGGATTACAATCAAGATGAGATTTTGGTGGGGACACAGAGTCAAACCATATTATTACACCCCTGGGGACTCCCAAATTTCATATCCTTTTCACATTTCAAAACACAATTATGCCTTCCCAACAGTACCCCAAAATCTTAACTCACTCCAGCATTAACTCAAAAGCCCAAGTCCAAAGTCTCATCTGAGACAAGGCAAGTCCCCTCTTTCCTGAGCCTGTAAAATCAACAAGTTAGTTATGTCCAAGATACAATGGGAGTACAGGCATTGGGTAACTGTCCCCATTCCAAATGGGAAAAATTGGCCAAAACAAAGGGCTATAGGCCCCATGCAAGTCTGAAACCTGGCAGGCCACCCATTAAATCTTAAGGCTCCAAAATGATCTCCATTGACTCCATGCCTCATGTCCAGGGCATGCTGACGCAACAGGTGGTCTCCCAAGGCCTTGCACAGCCCTACCCCTGTGGCTCTGCAGGGTACAGCCCTTGTGGCTGCTTTCGTGGGCTGGCATTGAGTGCCTGTGGCTTTTCCAGGTGCACAGTGCAAGCCATTGGTGGAGCTACTATTCTGGGGTCTGGAGGATGGTGGCCCTTTTCTTATAGTTCCACTAGGCAGTGCCCCAGTGGGGACTCTGTCGGGGGACTCCGACTCCACATTTTCTCTCTGCATTTGCCCTAGTAGAGGTTCTCCATGAGCGTTCCACCCTTGCAACAGACTTTTTCCTGGACATCCAGGCATTTTCATACATCCTCCGAAATCTAGGCAGAGGCTCCCAAAGTTCAAATCTTGTCTTCTGCATACCCACAGGCCCAACACCATGTGGAAACCAGTAAGGCTTAGGCTTGCATCCTCTGAAGCAACAGCCTGAACTGTAGGTTGGCCCCATTTAGCCATGGCTGGAGTGATTGGGACACAAGGCTCCATGTCCTGAGGCTGTACAGGGTAGTGGGGCCCTGGACCCGGCCCAGGAAACCATTTATCCCTCCTAGGCCTCTGGGCTTGTGATGGAGGGGCAACCATGAACGTTTCTGACATGCCCTGGAGACATTTTTACCATTGTCTTGGTGATTAAAATTCATCTTCCTGTTACTTAGGCAAATGTCTGCAGCAGGCTTATATTTCTTCCCAGAAAATGCCTTTTTCTTTCCTACCATATAGTCAGGCTGCAAATTTTCCAAACTTTTATTCTCTGCTTCCCTTTTATATGTAAGTTCAAATTTCAGATCATCTCTTTATGAAAGATATGACTGTATGCTTTCAGAAAAAGTCAGGTCACATCTTGAATGCTTTGCTGCTTAGAAATTTCTTCTGCCAAGCACCAGAAAATTATCTCTCTCAAGTTCAAAAGTTCCACAGGTCTCTAGAGCAGGGGCAAAATGCTGCCAATCTCTTTGCTAAAGCATAGGAAGAGTGACCTTTGCTCTAGTTCCCAAGAAATTCCTTGTCTCCACCTGAGACCACCTCAGCCTGGACTTCATCGTCCATATTACTATTAGCATTTTGGTCAAAACCATGCAACAAGTCTCTAGAAAGTTCCAAACTTTCCCACATCTTCTTGTCTTCTTCTGAGCCCTCAAAACTGTTCCAACCTCTGCCCATTATCCAGTTCCAAAGTTGCTTCCACGTTTATAGGTATCTTTATAGCAGTGACCCACTCCTGGTATGAATTTTCTGTATGAATTCATTTTCACACAGCTATAAAGAACTACCTAAGACTAGGCAATTTATTTTAAAAAGGTTTAATTGACTCACAGTTCCACATGGTTGGGGAGGCCTCAGGAAACTTACAATCATGGCAGAAGGTGAAGGGGAAGGAAGGTATATCTAACATGGTGGCAAGAGAGAGAGAGAAAGTGAGGGGGAACTGACAAACACTTTTAAAACCATCAGACCTTGTGAGAACTTACTATCATGAGAACTGCATGGGGGAAAGCACCCCTATAATGCAATCACCTCCCACCAGGTTCACCCTTTGATATGTGGGGATTACAATCAAGAAGAGATTTGGGTGGGGAAACAGAGCCAAAGCATATCACCTCCTTACCCTTTTCTCACTGTTCTGGCTTCTTGGTCTCTTCAATGTCCCTCAAACATACTATTCAAGACTCCACATCTTCACTTGCTGTTTCTCTAGCTGGAATGTTTTTTGCCCAAGTAGCCACATATCTTACTTTCTCAGCTTCTCCAGGTTTTTGCTTGAACATCTCTTTCTCACTTGGTGATTCTATGACCATCTTCTTTAAAATTTCTCATCTCCAGCAGCACTTCCTAATATACTCTCATGCTTTCTTTCTCCCCATCCGTAGCACTTACTGCCACCAAAATGGGATGTGTATTTATTTCCCAGGGTTTTCATAACAAATTACCACAAACTTGGTAGCTTAAAGTAACAAATATATTGTCTTATAGTTCTGGAGGCCAGGAGTCCAAAATCAAAGTGTTATCAGGGCTCTCTTCCCTTGACAGCTCTAGGGGTGGACCATTGCTTGTATCTTCCAGCTTCTGGTGGCCCCAGGTATTTCTTGGCTTGTGGATGCATAACTCCAATCTCTACCTCTACCTTCACATCCCCTTCTCTGTTTTCTCTTCTCTCTCATGTAAAGAACTTGTCATCGGACATTGCATCCACTCGGATAATCCAGGATGGTCTCAGTTTGAGGTCCTTAATTTTATTATATTTTAAAGACTCTTTCTTTTTCAAATAAGTTCACAATCACAAGTTCCACTTTGAAAGTGTGAAAATATATTTTTGGGAGCCATCATTCAACCCACTACAACATGTATGTATGTAATATGTGTGTGTGTGTGTGTGTGTATATATATGTATATGAATTGCCAGATCATAACTGCCCTCATTACTTCTCTTTTCTTTTGATCTTGATATTCTCTTGCTCCTCTCTCTCTCTCTCATCTTCTCTTGGTTTTCCGCTTCTCCACACTCATCTCAGAGATAAGTAACAAGCTCAGTTTCAGGAATTGACAAACATTTTCATTCCATGCCATAGTGATTCTCAACTCTCCTTACAATGTATACACACACACACACACAAAGGTATTATCTGCTATCTGTTTCTGCCCACAAAGGTAACAGGTTTTAATATTTTGCTATCGTATCCCTACAGGTATGTAATAGATCCTTAATAATATATATTAGTTAAATGAATGAATAAATATAGTGAGTTAAAATATATACTGCATGTGTAATTAATATATATTTATATTTTATTTTGTGGGCTTCCTTATGAGTTTGGCTGGTGATAATCAAATCTTCAGGGCATGTTCTCTGGATAAACTAATAAAACTGACTACCAGCCTTTTATGATGCTTACCCCAACAAGATCACCAAATGCCCTAAAACTTCTAGCTTGCTTTGTGTGTCACCTTAGAAATAGCTTGTTTCTATACGAATTTAACCAGTAATCCACTATAAATTATTTTCTCTGTTGAGGCAGATTTCTACATTGGTCTGATCTCCATCCTCTGCTTTGCTGACCCTGTGCACTTCTGTATTCCTTCCACAAAGGGGAAGGAGTTCAATATTCCATCTGTTATTTGAAAAAAAAATTCAATAGAGTTCACCAAGAAACCCTACTTCTACATTCTCCCTTTCCAAGATATTCATGAGGAATAATAAAGAAAGAAACTGCCCCTGATAGTTGCAGCCTTCCAGGTTATGTATGTGGAGTCAAGTAGGTGTGGAATGGTGTGTCATTCAACCCACTACAATATGTATGTATATGATATATATTTTTGTGTGTGTGTGTGTGTATATATGTGTGTGTGTATATATATATGAATTGCCAGATCATAATTGCCCTCATTCTCTTTTCTTTTGATCTTGATATTCTCTTGCTCCTCTCTCTCTCATCTTCTCTTGGTTTTCCGCTTTCTCTACACTCATCTCAGAGATAAGCAACAAGCCCAGTTTCAGGAATTGACAAACATTTTCATTCCATGCCATAGTGATTCTCAACTCTCCTTACAATGTGTATATATATATATATATACACACACACACACACATACACACAGAAAGGTATTATCTGCTATCTGTTTCTGCTCACAAAGGTAACAGGTTTTAATATTTTGCTATGGTATCCCTATAGGTAGGTAATAGATCCTTAATAATATATATCAGTTAAATATATATTTTAGACAGTTCCAGAGAGCATAGCCTTCCCAACCATTTTCCCATGCAAACCCTAATCTAGTGGCAGCTTGGACTGCCCAAGATATTTAACAATCAATGTCTTTTCCATTATGGTAATTGATCCTCATAACCATTGTGTAAGAAATGCCAAGCAACTATTATTACTCCTGTTTTACACATGAAGACTCAGTGTTTCCAAAAGTATAGATGGGTTGGCCAAGGTCACACGGTGGAAAATATATGCAGGGCTAAAATTCAAGTTGTTGCCAGAGTTTTTTTTTAATCTTTCATTTCCTAATCCCTACTGAACATGTCTTTTCTTTTCTTAATGCACACATTTAATATCCCTATATGACTATGCCATTGTATTTTGATTCATTTGAAGTTTTCAGAAAATAATCTCTTTTTTGTGTGTCTAGGTTTTAAATAGAAATATATTCATCATAACTTCTTTATTGCATCAAGGGACCAAACTACATTCCAGAAGCAAACATTAAATCCTTTCCATTTTTAAACATTGTTCTCTTTTGTACATTTATTCCCTAAAGCAATTTTATTTTTGTTTCTTTTTTCCTCTAGGACCTATAATTCACATTTTTTTCATTTTTATTTTATTACTGTTCTGCAGGTATAACAATTCATAATTCCAACTATATTCCTTTACAACTAGCTTTCATACTCGGCTTCTAAAGAAGTATGTTTTCCTCTAGGGAGAGCCCATTCGCTAGAGAAAGACCCAGGTTTGGATTCAGGGAACTGGGACTTTTGACCTCTGCTCCCCACTGTCTGTGGTTGTATGTTATTTACTTCCTTGAACATCTGTTCTGGAAGTTTATAAAATGGAACAAATAATTCTGACTAGCGTGTCTTAATTAAGAAGAAAGAGAAAGCATTCTTGAAAGTATGGTTTGTTCTTAGCTAAAAGATGTTATTAATGCAAGAAGCTCTCCTGTTTAAAACTGTTACAATAAAAGAATTAAATTCCCACTAATGTTGGCCCACTATGTTGAATACAGCTTAAAAATATATCGCCCTTTGCTATTGGCAAAACTATGAACCAAGAGTGAGCAAATCTATGTACCTTCTATGGGTGTAAAGCACATTTGATCAATGAGGTTCTAGTGTGTGTGTAGAAGGTGTTAGATATATAGGTAAGGAGAGTTGAGAATCACTATGGCATGGAATGAAAATCTCTGTCAATTCCTGAAACTGACCTTGTTACTTATCTCTGAGATGAGTGTGGAGAAAGTGGAAAACCAAGAGAAGATAAAAGAAAGAAACAAGAGAATATCAAGATCAAAAGAAAAGAGAAGTAATGAGGGCAATTATTATCTGGCAATTCATATATTTGATGATATTTATTTATCATCTATTTTATGTTCATCCACTAAAGGATACATTGTGGCACCTAGAAGGGAAATATAAAATTCTATAAAAGGCAACTGTGTGAGTTATATCAGAAGACAAAACACAATTGTGTAAGGTGCAATTTACTTACAGATAAAAGAAAGCACTCTAACTAGTTTAAGCAGAAAGGCATTTAATACAGGTTAGTAAGTGCTCGCAAAAAAATGTTGCAAAAACTCAAGAAGCAGTCTCTGCCACCAAAATTCACTCCCAGCACAACATCAAGAATAAGATTGTTGAGGGAGTTGCTACCTCTGTCTTAGAAAGATGGGAAATCAGGAAGCTACCATCTATTTTGTTGGCCCCAGAGCTATTAGTGTATGGCAGATCCAAAAACAGCTAACTCACCCATCACCATCTCTCTTCCTACTCAACTTGGTTATAAATTTACTCACAGTCTTAGAAACCCCATTTGGGGTCACAACCATTGAGAATTATTTTCTCTAGCTCTCTAGAAGGTGTATGGCCTTAGAGCAATGACCATATGCCCAGATGCAGACACCCAAGGGCCTGAGATTGATGTAGACATGGTGATGTCATTTTAACATGGGCAATGTCCTAACTGAGTCGTTAAAGGAGAAAGGGTGGAGGAAGCCATACAGGCTCCCACTCGACCTTTCTTTCTAATCAATTGCAATTGACTAGTCAGATCTGCTGGCCTGGCAATATGCCAGTTTCTTCAGAGCTTCCTTGACCTCTCGGTTTCTTAGGCAATAAATGAAAGGGTTGAGAGAAGGAGTGACAATGGCATAGAAGATGGAAATAATTTTGTTCTTGTTGAAGGCATGGATAGCTCGAGGTCGAGCATACATGAAAATAATGGCTGAATAGAAAATGGTGACCACCACAAGGTGGGAGGCACAAGTGGAGAACGCTTTCTGTTTTCCTGTGGGCATGCGTAAGATGGTGGCCAGAATGCATCCGTAGGACAGGACAGTAATAAAGAGTGGGAAAAGGAAGATGCCCAGTGCCAGGATAAAGTCCACCAACTCAGCTATGGACATGTCTGTGCAGGAAAGATTAAGTACTGGAGAGATGTCACAGAAGAAGTGGTTGATGACATTGGGACCACAGAAGCTGAGGTGGGAGATGAAGTAGATCTTCGCCAGGGAGATGCCAAAGCCAATGGCCCAGGAACCAAGAGCGAGGCGGAAGCAGAGCCCATGGCTCATTATGGTCGGGTAGTGGAGTGGGCGACAGATGGCCACATACCGGTCATAGGCCATGGCGGCCAGGAGCACACATTCTGTGCACATGAGTGCAATGAAGAAGTACAGTTGTATCATACAGAGTGTGAAAGAGATGCTGTTGTTCATAGACCAAAAACTAAACAGTAACTTGGGCACAGTCACAGAGATGTACCAAGTCTCCAAGAAGGACAGGTTGGCCAGGAAGAAGTACATAGGCTTGTGCAGTGGCCGATTTTGCTGCACCAATAGGATGATGATCACGTTTTCAGCCACTGTCAGAATATATGCCACAAGGAATATCAGAAACACGGCTGCCCGCATACTCAAGCTCCCAGGGAATCCCACCAGAATGAACTTGGTGACTCGTGTGTGGTTCTCCAGTTCCATATTGGAGACACAGGGCTTAGGTCTCCTGGGGAGGAAAAATCATTTGATCAGACTCCTTGGTCCAGCTATATTTTTCCATCCTTGTCTTCTCTATCAGTAACAGTAACAGTTATCATTTATTAATACATATTATAGTTCAGACCATGAACTGGGTACGTGAGGCACACAACGTAATTTAATTTCCACATAGCCGTGTGTGTGTGTGTGTGTGTGTGTGTGTGTGTGTGTGTGATAATATCTGCTTTAATGATGAAGAAATCGTGTCTTGGAAAGGAATTAAGTAACTGACCAAGCTGTCACTGGTAGCAGGGCAGGAATCACATCGAAGTCTCAGTCTAAAATCCATGCTCCTTCTACTATCTTGCACTGTCTGACACTTTACAATTGCCAATTCCAAAAGACACACCTGACCTTCCTGTCTCACCACCTACCCAGAGCTCTGGAAGTTCTTCCTTACAACTCCTTTATCCTTCACATGCTATTATTTTCATCTACCATCCCTGGAGATAGAGAGTAGCTGTCATCACCTGTGAGGTACATGAGAAAGTGAGTAGCAGAGATTTGGGCTTTTCGGTATTAAAAATCCCCTGGACTTCATTCAAGTCAAAGGTCTGCCACGGATTTGCTATGACCTTGAAATCTTACCCTCTCTCAGATTCAGTTTCCTCTGTTGTCAATGTGAATATTAATATTTATTCAGCTTATGTCGTTGAGGATCAAAATCCAAATGAGTTAATGTAAATGAAATTGTATAAAAACTAATAGCAATAATCATGAAAGGGGATTTTCCCCCATATTAGAGCAGTGATGAAGGTAAGAATACGCTAACAGGAGGGAGGGGAGGAGCTGCTGTGATCCATCGCAAAGCCGTGAGCGAAGTAAACATGGGCCTCATTCAGGGAATGTGACGTTCTTGGGAGTGAAGGTGGGGATCACTGAGTGGAGATTTTTAAAGATAAGCAAACAAAGATGGAGATGCATTATAAAATTGGAAATATTTTCTATCAAGGTTAACAGACAGAACATAACACTAAAGTAATCAGGAAAGGTCCCTCTGACCTTTGAGGAGGCGATACTGAGGCTGGGAAAGATTCTAGGGCCCCAGCTCTTTGAAGGGCTGAGGTGGGAGGGAGCTGTGCTGAAGGAGGTGCAATTGCCGTGCTGTGATGGATGGGAAAGGAGCCAAGGAAGAAGGCAGGAAGGCAGGGTCAGAAGTGCAGGACCCCAGAGGTTATAATCGGGGATCTGAACAGTGGTCGAAAAGCAGTGGGAAACAAGCAAAAGATCAAAGGTGGAATGGGACATGATATGATTTATGCAATGGAAAGATAACTCTGTCATTGCAAAATGGACTCCTTGGAGGCAAGAGTGTGAGCTGTGAGCTATGAAACTAGTTGGAGGCTACTCAGAATAGGCCACAGTGAACTTAGATACTGTGGTTCCAGAGAAGTGGATTTAAGATACACATTAGAAGTAGAACCTTTAACAGTAATTGGTGGGTTGGATATGGAAGGTGAGAGAAAGAAAGAAATCAAGGAGGAATCTCAAATATAGGGCTTATTACCTAGAGGTGATGCCATTTACTAAGGTAGTTAGTTAGATGGCATCATTTACTATTTTACTATCTTTACTAACTGTCTTACTAACTATCACAGTTCAGAAAATCCTCTAACGATAATTTATTGAGTATTTAATAGATGCTGGGAAGTTCTTTTCATTGCAATATCCCATTTAATCCACAAAACAATGTTAATTATACATTGTTATTCTAATTTCAAAGAAGACACTGTGGTTTAGCTAGATTGAATAATATTTTCAAGTTAGACAGTGATAAAATCAGAATCATAAAGCCCAGGGCTGACTACAAAGGCATGTCCTTAGCCACCAGAGTGAAACACACTGATGAAGAATATCACATTTTGGACTCACCAGTGTATTTTACATTTAAATTTTCTGACTATTTTGTGAAATGTTCTTTAATCCTGTTGAAATTTTATTATAAGCTGAGACTATTAGAGATGACCCGAAATGTTAAAAAGAAAGCAATATGACACAAGTACATATTCAGTCAGACACACATAGCAGAAATGAATGTATAGAAATGCTTGGTAAATGTATCAGAGAATAGATAATGATTGGATATGTTTTGAAATGTAAATTAGGAGGAAGAAAAGGCATTTTTGGCAGATGAACCAGAGTGAACAAAGGCACAGAGATCTGAAACAGCTTGAAATTTTCAGGAGAGCAATTCATAATTGCTACATGAGTGGGCAAATTGTGAGCGAGTGAATGAGCAGAAAAGAGATGGCTGGAGAGAGAAAGAGAGAGACTTTATTGTCACGGACCAGATCATGGAATAGTGAGGCATTTAAGAATCATCTTGAAGTATAGACAATTAGTAATCACTGTTTGTCAGCAGGATGACAATATCCTCTTATTATATTCTTGTTTTTGATGTGGGAGGGTGGGTTCGGATGGGACAAGGTTGCCAAACCAGAGATTCATAGACCCATTAAAAAGCACCCTCACAGCAGACACTTAAAGATACACACAAAGAAAAGAAAAGTCATTCTAGCTTATAACATTTGTCAAAGAAACAAAGATGGACATATTCAGCTATACTTCTTCACAAGTTACATAAGTTTTCACTTCTAGAGGAAGCTCTACAAGAAAAACAAAGAATTCCTTATTTCTCATTAACTAAGTAAAGGTGCACAGGCACTAATTATTGCATACTGGTATTTTTGTGTATCATCTTACTGCAAAATATGTAGAGCCTTTTTACTTATAATAGTTTTTACTCCATTAAGCATACTCAAACTTGTTACCCCTCATAGCAGATTTACCCCCGGTCTAGAATCAAACATCTTTGTTTCTTATGCCTGCTGCTATGCACTTCTCCCCAATTTTGTCAGGGTTCTATACATATGTAGGTTCCAAGTAATTTGAATTTGATGGACTTTTAACCTCTACCCCTGCCAAAACAGCAGTAGTTTTTGTAGCCACCACCACAAACAAGTTGCCAGGAAGCTGCAGCGGTTGCAGTACAGGGATATCAGGTCATCGGGTCCATGGTAAGGATCTAAAGTTTGGGATCATAATCTGGGGCACTTATTTTTGATCCACACCAAGAGATGTCTCCAAAGTAGCACGGGAAACCTGCTCCCTCAGCTCACTGCATAACTGGCTGCACTAGATTTCGGGGAGACAAGAATATTATCTGGACTGATTGCTAGGAATTGAGAGTGGATAGAACAAAGAAGCATTAAACATTTTAGAGTTTAAATGTTGCTGCACTGTAGGAGCCTGAAACAGGGCTGTCTGCATAGTGAGAAAGTAATGCTGTGAGAGGGAGCACTTACCTTGGCACAGCAGCTTCTGATAGGATGATATGTGAAAACAAAGCCTTCACCGATTCTAAAATAGGAAGAAGTAGAAGAAAAAGATGTAGGTATTGAATAGATGTGAGGAACCCACTTTCTAAACCTAGAAAGAGTGACTGGATACAGATTGCCCCACTGCTTTCAAGCTGAAAGCCAGGATAAGATGACAGGAGAGCCCTAGGCACCAGGACTACATCTGATGTGCCTGATGTGGCACCAGGCTGGTTCTTCCAGCACCCTGGGACCGGGGTGCCCATCACCTTCCTGGTGAACACGGCAGTGATTTTAGGCACACTGAGCTGTGAAGACCTTTGGATTCTTAGGGCTTTATAGAGTACCAAGACTTTCCCTACATGTCTGTCCAGACCCAAGAGAAAATAACCTTGACAATGGCAGCTCAGTTCTCTTGTGGGATTCAAGAGAAATTTCCATTTGCCCATTGTGGTGATCTTAATTGTTTTATATGTTATTAGTTCCATAAGAAAAAAAAAAAAAAGTCCACTTGGGACCACACACTTTGGAAAGAGCCATATTTTTTTTTGACAGATGAAGAGAAAAATGTACTGCAGTTAAATCTCTATGTACAGACTTTCGAATATTCTTCCATCTTTGGCTTACTTGAAACAGGATGATGATGCAAGTGCTCCAAATGTGATATTGATATCCAAAGGAGACTGATATTACTACATTTTAACAAAAGTTTAAATGACAGTTTTTGTTTTAGATACTTATGTCCTATCATGACAGAATTTATTGTTACTTTGTCAGCTGCCCGTGGGTACCATTTAACTAATAGTTCACATTCTGGTACAAAGCTCTAGTGTACTAAAAGTCACTTCTTCTGTAGCCAGCAGAACTCTTAAGTTGCCCCCTCACAAAGAAAAGCTATCAGATTCACTGTGATTTGATGCAATGGGAGATAAACATATTAAAAGTTATAAACAATTCAGTCTGGAGAGCCACACGTTTATGGTAATTAAGCAAGCAGTCTTCAGTACAATTTCTCTTATAGGACTGAAGTATGAAAACCAAATAGTAGCAAATAAAAATAAGGCATCTCTTTCAAATCTCTGGCCTCGATTTATCTCCAAGTCTCAGAAAAACTCTGACTTGTCTAAAATGTATTATTTGATATTAATCACAATTTTTCAACATGGTTTTAAGCTGCTGTGATATGGTCGTCACTGAGGGGGACCACATTGCTCCTCCAAAGATAGAAAATGTCCATCTACTGTGAGAAGATTCTGTGAATTACTGTAACAATCATTTTTGACTCTTGGAGTCAACATTTTATACAAGCAATTCTAGAATGGAGATATTTAGTAGATAAAAACTGGCTGTATTCTAGGACATGTTGACACAATCTTATCCTAGAATTCAGCTGTACAGGCTTTCCTTGGAGTTTTTTCCTTTTCTTTTTTTTTCCCTATACCAATTAGTTTCAGGTTGAAACCTTCTGCAGTTCCCTGTTCAGTGTACATGGGAAGCAATAAGGAAACTCTGAGAACTTGTGTGTTGTGCCTGAGGTCCCTTGGCTATCTGCTTTCTTTTTCCAGAGTCCACATATATTTTTGTTATGTCCAGTTTTTTGTTGTTGTTGTTTGTTTTTATTGTAAGGAGCATTTGATTCTTTGTTATTGTTCTTTGTTCACCATTGGTTGACACTAGTTCTGTTTGGG